CAAAGCGAATAAAAAAAACTGTAATAATATTAATAACCACATTTATATAGAACGTTTCTCGGCACTCGCTTTACATAGAAGGGGGAATCTCGTCGAACTGCAAATGCTTTAAGAACTGCAAATGAATTTTTTTTTTTGCATCTCTGCGCGATTAGACTAAAGAGAACACTCTGTATGTGAATGTCCTGATGCACGCACTCATTCATTCATTCATTCCAATGATGCACACACGACGCGCAGAAAGATGCGCAGCAGTATCGTGTGGCCAGACAGCGCGCCGGAATATTATCTTTCGATGCAGTGCTTTCTTGCAATTGGGTCGGTTTATGTTCACACTGTAAACGAACCGTACCAGAGTTTGTTTGGAACCGTACCGAGACCACCTCTTCAGCTTGTTTGGTCCGCACCCGAGTTCGATTGCTGTATTCAAACCTGCCCAAAAGGTCCGCACCAAGGGGGCAAACGAACTAGAGTTCGATTCAATCGAACCAAACAAGGCAGGTGTGAATACACCCTTAATGTACCATTAACCTTTACAACAAAGGTTTAGTCATTAAAACAAGTTTCTTTCGCATCGCATGTTGTTTCAACACAATAGCAGGGGTCAAGCGCTATAGTGACAACACTTTAAGAATGCTGTGTAAACAGGATTGAGCTACTCTCAGAGCTGTAAAAAAATGATGTTTGGAAGACACTTAAGTGACAAACTAGCGCTAAAAAAATGCATGGACAAATATCCGGGAGTTTTAATGGATTCTAAGTTGTCATTTAAATCACATGGAAAGGGATTCAAATTAAATTTAGCTTTATCTCACATCCGACACATCCGCCATCAAATGTCCACACAGGCAGCAAAAATGCACATGCACTCTCTGATCTTCTCGCACATCACTTACTGTTGACTCATTTGGTCACAAGCTAATGTTACATCTTTGAAATCTCTTCCGTCACTTTTCAAACCAACTGTTAAAATCCTAGATAAGAAAATGTATTTCTCATCATTGTCCAATAATACTAAAATATAGATTACTCGGCTGGGAAAACATGGTCAACATGTCTTCTCAATAAATTGATGCATGGTTTATCATCCCCTCCTCTCCACCAGTTTTGGCGTTTTTCCACTGCCGGATCGGTTCGGCTCGCTTCTCTTTTCCACTGCGTGGTACGACTCAGCTCGGCACGGCACGGCTCAGTACTGCTTTAAAGTGGGTGGGATTATAGACTGATCGATAACAGTGGTGGCTGTTACTGGCTATTTAAATCTAGCAGGTTTGGTTTCTCGTGTCGATGTCTATTGGTCGCAAATACAATGACGCTGGGACTGACCAATCAGTGATCTGCATTGTTTCACATCACATTTTAGTACCAGTACGGTACGCTTGGAACCTCAACAGCATTTACAGCGAGCCAAAGCGAACAGTACCGTACCATACCATGCAGTGGAAAAGCGCCATTTGACTCCACAAGAAAAAGTACATATTGTCCCTTTAACAGCCAAAAAAGCATGAAAATTAAAATTAATTAAATCATTAATGACTCTTCCTCAAGTCGTTCCAAGCCCGTCAGACCTCTGTTCATCTTCGGAACACCGTTTAAGATATTTTAGATTTAGTCCGAGAGTTTTCTGTCCCTCCATTGGAAATGTATACTGTCCTTGTCCAGAAAGGAAATAAAGACATCATCAAAGTAGTCCATGTGACATCAGTGGGTTAGTTTGAATGTTTTGAAGCATCGAAAATACATTTTGGTCGCTAAACAACAAAAACTCTGACTTTTTTCAGCATTGTATTGTCATCCGGTTCTGTTGTGGATCCGCGTTCAGTGACGTGTGTCTGATGTGTCCGAGCTTCGTTTACAGTCTGAGGGAGACAAAACAATCTTCGCATGTCTAAGGATTTCTACACAGGAACACTTGCATTTTTTTTTTGCTCAGCCATATTTATTTGAACCCGAATTCACGGACGCACCAGACACGTCAGCAGCGTCACTAAACGCGGATCCACAACAGAACCGGAAGACAATACAATGCTGAATTAAGTCGTAGTTTTTGTTATTTTTAGACCAAAATGTATTTTCGATACATAGTTGTGTAGAGAGCGCATGCAAGAAGGATTTCATCCAGTCAGAGGAAGTAGAACTTTAGAGCGCCCCCATCTGTGTTTTTATGGGATTGCGCTCTCTCGCTAATTTGCCCTGTTTAGTAGAGCCCGACCGATAAAGGATTTTGAAGGCCGATACCGATACAAATATTTTTTGGTTTTAAAATCCAATATGCCGATATATCGGCCGATTTTTTTTTTTTTTTTTTTTTTTTTTTTTTTTTTTTTTTTTCAGAAAGGCGCAACAAAACATTAAAAGATTTCCCTAACATTAGTTATTAATGAGTTTTAACCAAAATAATATGATAATGCATTTTAAAAAGAAACTTTCTAAAAGCTTTATGGTTAGCTAGTCTATGATGAACCATAATTTAGCAATGGATTACGTCATACTGCAAATTGTAAAACATACATTTTCAATATAACTGGCCAAGGAAACTTCCGCCGGCCACAAATTTTGTCATGCTTACTTGAGTTTAGTCTCGCGTAGCCAGACCTTCAGACTGACAGCTGAAGGTCTGGAATTCATAGCAGCTTTCTTTGGCCAAGGCCCGCCCATAAGGCCGTTTGACCGACATGTCAAACAACCAATTACAGTTCGTTTCATTCAGCGTCACGTTTCGGGGCGTGGAAATGTCCCCACAACAACAGACCGGCGTGCAACAAGTCAGTCAGCAGCAGTAACGCTCCGCGTTATTAAATTCACCCACGAACTCGCGCCCATGTCCATCTTATGCCCGCTTTGTCACACGGCCAGTTCAACCTCGTATAAATCAGGTTATGCGTGTAAATCACGTGCCCGCTCACGAGCGCTTTTACTCTTAACAGACACACTGTCCCCGGCGCTGCTTGTGCGTCACAGTTATGTTCATAAAGCGCTCCCCGTTCACAGTAACCGGCTCGTCTCATTCAAAGCAGCCAGCTGTAACGTTAGCTGGCAGCGAGCCGCCGCACATTGAATACTCGCATCATGAGTCAGGCTGCGAATGTAAGTTACGTCCCTGCCCCAGCGCGCTCACGCCTACTAAATAAACGCCTCACCTCCGGCGCCGCGCACTCGCTACATTCCCTTTAGCCTTTAGTTTAGCACATCTAGTGGATGCATAACGCAAACCCAGTCAAACGTTTGACTCTGCAGTATCTTATGCGCCTTATAATCCAGTGTGCGCCCTATATATCAGTCCCTCCAGAAAAACGCGATTATGCGATCGCTGAATTCAATGCAAAATCAGCCAAAGTCCGCACATTTATGCGGGGGCCGCATTTTTTTCAAATACGCCTCACTTTCGCCGCATAAATTGCCGATTTCCGTGCAAAATATGTGGGGTTTGCATAATTTCATAATCCTCGCATTTTCGTTGCAAAAAAAGTCACATGTATCTTAGCAGAAAGTTGAAAAATGTTGCGTTTGCTTCACATAAGAGCAGCCATTTCCCCCTGTTTCCATGGGAACGTTATGAAGTGACGCAATTACGCGACGCCAGACAGACTCACGGAGGCGATTGACATCTCACAAATCGAACTCGTATAACTGTCTGTCACACGTTCTACCGTCACATCGTTACTTAATAAACAACATAAGATAAAAGTAGTAGCATCAAGCAGAAATTACCCGCACACATAGGGTGTTCGACAGTTCAACAGGGAGCGCGCAGCTCTTAAAGGGGCCACACCTTATTTACACTTTTACAGTCTGAAATAAAACAAGATGAGAAATTAAATATTCCCAGCACTTTCTATGATGTAGTATGCTTGCTTATCAAAGGAAGTAATAAGAAATGACTCTTATATTAACAGGATGTTGGGGGAATCACTTTTTTTCTCTTTTTCATCAAACCGCAATTTTTGCAAGTTCCCTCAATTTTTGTAAATTCCAGCAATTTCATCGCATAAAATTGCATAAATATCCCACATATTCCATCGCATTTTTAAAGAAAACTGGCCGCATAATCAATCAATTTTTGCCCGCAACAATCACAAAAAAAAAAACTCCGTGTTTTTCTGGAAGGACTGAATACTAGGTAAATGTTAAATATAAATCGCAAATTTTTTCACAAATTTTTGGAAATTACCACCACAAAATCAGTCATTTTGATCGCAAAAATCACAAAAAAAAATCGTGAAATCCTGGAGGGACTGATATATGAATACTGAATCGGCCAGCTGCGATGTCAGTGTTGTTTCATGTTTGCCCACAAACGCGGCTGATATCCCCTTCGCAATTAAGTACTTCACTTGATCTTCCATAATAGATAGGAGGGGACAACTACGTTTAGCTGATCTTGATTAATGCTCATTGTCACTCACATAGGTCACTCATACACAACAGTTTTTCTTCCGCAATAACACATTCTGCGCTTTGTTTCCCGGCGGACCGAAAATAAACGCGACACTGACGCCCCCCGGAAATCCGATAAAATTCAACCAATCAGATGACGACTTCGACATTCCTGAAGTGTTTCCAGTTAAGTGTACCATATGCATCAGACGTTTAGCCAACGTTCCGTGGGCGTGACGTCTGAGGCTGAGACTAATTTGAGTTAAGAGAACTGATGGGGATGTTCTTTTAATTGTTATTCAAGCCATGTATGTATCGTGACCAACTCAACGAATGTTGCCAACAGGAACGGTGTAGAGTGCCCTCTGGTGGACAAACTACACAACACTCATGACATGGTTCAAGTGTGTTTCGTCCATTTTTATTTTATTTTTGAAATATGAATTTATCGGCCATTATAACTGCCGATACTGATAGTTTGCAAAATGCCTAATATCGGCCGATAATATCGGCCTGCCGATATATCGGTCTGGCTCTACTGTTTAGTATATCTGGCACATTGTCCATAATGAAGTATAAGTAAACTCATGCGAAAACTCTTGTGTTTGTGTGTCGGCCCGCAGGTGTTTGCGCTTGGGACAAACTGCAGTGGTTGTCTGGGCCTCGGGGACACGCAGAGCTCCATTGAGCCCAGGCGGATCGACATCTTGTCTGGGAAGAAAATTGTCTCTTTGAGCTACGGCACAGGCCCACACGTGGTCATCGCCACTGCAGGTTTGACAAATCTTTTTAACATGGAACAATGGCTCTGATTTGAGATTTTGTTGTTGTGATGATGAACCTGTAGGTTATCACCATGTGAACATCCGTTCACAGTGTTGTTGTTTACATTGTCTTTTTGTTTAATGTTATAATTGTTTTCATATTGTTTATTTTTGATTAAGGATATTATTTGTGATTATGTATCTGTTTGGATTTATATGCAAGAACACTGATATTGAATGTTTCCATTGTCAGGGGAGTTATTCGACCCCTACAGTTGGTATGACCCACTAGTTTTGGCGGGAAAATAGCATATATAAAGGAGTGAGGCTAATTGAGTGGGGAGAGACGGGCCATGTGCCAGTACTAGTACAGTCCAATGCTGTAGGATGTGTCGTGATTGTCAGAGGTTTGTTCCTCGAGGCTGGATTTGATGCCATGTTTTTGCTGCTTTCAGCATGTTTTATTTATGTTTTGTAATGTTTATTTTGATTATTTTTTTGATGATTTCTTTTGTTTATTTTTGAACTTGATTTGGAGCACGTGTGCTGAGACAGCTGTCCTCAATAAATTCACCTTCAACGATTTCCTGCATGGTACTCCAGTTATTCCATCCTTTCCCGGGCCTATCGGCAGATAAATTGACGAAACGACTCAGGGTAATGGTATTCAACTAGACCTCTGACAACAAATCAGTGTGGCATTCTAACATCAGGCGGCTGTAGTTGAAACCACATCCCGACAGTTGTACCAAATAAGTTTGGTTGCTGGATGGTGAAAAACATGGTAAAAACTTTTACTTGATTATGCTGAGGTGGCCTCATGACCTTCTAACGCTTCCAAAGCATGAAACATAATTCATATTCATAGCCTATAACAACATAATAGCAGCCTAATATTCTCATAATAATAATAAGTGTTGGGGAAAGTTTCTTTTAATAAACCTTTCACAACAAAAGTAAAATGAATAAGCCTCAGGCTGAAGGAAATGCAAATTCTGGATCACAAAAGAATTAAGAATTCAATATCAAGGGAACAAATCAACAATAATTATTTTATCTTAACTGTGCAGTCCGTTAAAATATGGTCATATATTGTCATCATGTATATGCTGGAGTCTTGTCCATAATTATATTTATTTACACTAGTTTGTAAATGTATATACACAGACCTTGGGGAAGTGGGTGTGGATCTGATTTTGGAAATGATCATAAGCAAAACAGAAAAACGTGGTGAGCTGGTGGGTAATGAAGTGTAATGGCTACATCATAGTTCAATTATTATTCATTCTTAAATAATAATTATTAGTATTTATGCAATTTTGTTGTTGTAGTGTCAAATTTCTATTGAAATGAATTCACTATCTGAAGTTGAATCTTCTATCTAGTGTTTATGGTTTTCAGTCTTGAGATTACATTACAGGATTTCATGGGAGATGTGTTCAACAATCAAACGTGATTTGGCTGACTTAACTATCAGATTTGCCTTTGGAAAGTGTGCGTCTCTGAGGTCTGTGTTCATCTGTTTAATATAATTATGGTAACAATGCTAAGACTTTGAAGACTGCCTTTCACTCAAAAATACACAACAGTATGGTTGGTAAAAATTGGTCACATGACGTCCAACGTCATTTCGTTCCTAATATTTTGTGGTGAAACTCTCGAGAGATATTGTTAATAAACACAACATCTTTATGTGTTTGGTGGTGACTTAAAGGGTTAGTTCACCAAAAAATGAAAATTCTGTCAGTATTTTCTCACCCTCATGTTGTTCCAACCCTGTAAGACCTTCGTTCATCTTCGGAACACAAATTAAGATATTTAAGATATTAAGATCGCTCCTGCATACAGTCCATAGGCTTCTTGAGGGACTGGCTCTTGCTGTCCTCGAAAAGTCATTAAAGACATCGTTAAAATAGTCCAAGTGACTACAGGGGCTCAATCTTAAGTTTATCAAACGACGAGAACACTTTTGTGCGCAAAAAAACAACAAAAATAACGACTTTATTTCAACTATTCACTTCCTTCTCCATGAGCCTGTAAGTCAGTTAACGTAGTGTGATTGCGTAGAGCTACGTCACACGTAGGCTCACTATTGGCCGACGCTGGTCATGTGTGTGTGATGCGTGTGATGTACAATAACAGAAGCTTACGCTATTAAACTAGTAACCTGACTCGCGCAGAGGGAGAAATAAACGAATAGTTGAAATAAAGTCGTTATTTTTGTTGTTTTTTTGCGCACAAAAGTGTTCTTGTCGTTTGATAAACTTAAGATTGAGCCACTGTAGTCACTTGGACTATTTTAACGATGTCTTTAATGACTTTTCGAGGACAGCAAGAGCCAGTCCCTCAAGAAGCCTATGGACTGTATGCAGGAGTGATCTTAATATCTTAAATATCTTAATTTGTGTTCCGAAGATGAACGAAGGTCTTACGGGGTTGGAACAACATGAGGGTGAGTAAATACTGACAGAATTTTCATTTTTGGGTGAACTAACCCTTTAATGTGATAAATATTCTACATGTCGCAACGTGGAGTTTTGGAGAACAAAGTTTTTATATCTGATCAACATCAAATTTTTCACTGAGATTCAAGTGAGTCTTTATTTAAATCACGTCAGATGTTCAAGTTCAGTTGTATTTTTGACAATTTATAGATGGTGTATGTGTATCCACTTATAATTTGTAAGGACTTGAGCCGGTGATTCTTCCTCAGATCTGAATCTTGTCCTCTGTGTCTGTAGATGGAGAAGTTTATGCCTGGGGTCACAATGGCTACAGTCAGCTGGGCAACGGCACCACCAACCACGGCCTGACTCCTGCCCTGGTTTCCACCAACCTCATCAGCAAGAGAGTGGCGGAGGTGGCCTGCGGCTCCCACCACACCATAGCCCTCACCACCGAGGGAGAGGTAAGATAGAGATCTTATCACGCAAAAATGAGGAAATGGATCTTAAGGCAGATTAGTGGGGGATTTTTAAAAACAAACACCCGCTGATCAAAGCGATTTTACACAAGAGAAGAAAAAAAATGGCCATTTTTATAATACCTAGCATATTAGGGCTGCACGATATTAGCTCTATTTGTAGTAAATCTGCATAGAAAATAATCAATGAATTACAATCATGGGTAAATACAATAGAACAAGGATACAAATGAATTAAGCAGTGCTTTATGTTTTTCAGGTAAGTCATCAGCATTCAAGTACAGAAAATAAATAATCATATGTAAAATAAAACCGCATAGTCTTCAGCCTATACATTAAATACAATTAATCTTTGTTAAAGCTGCAAAACTGATTTTCTCTTTGCATTTTGCTGTTTGACTAACATCTTAGGCTGCTGTCACTTTAAGGCCGAATGCACGGATCCAAGATAACGATAGGCATCCGTTGTATTTCTCAAGAAAGTTTATGACTGTGTTTATGAGGAGGATACTCATCGGGAATTTGCATGAATGTGTCTGTTCAAGCACAAATAGACATGGAAGAGAACAGAATTAGGTGTTTGTGTGAGGCGTGCGAGGTCCGAACTGACTTCTTTATTTTAAACCGCTCGATTGGTTTAAAATAGCTTGAATGTTTAAACTGCCAGTGCAAATGATAAACTTACTCTCTATGATGGTTAAAGTCGACCATATGGATCAATATAATTTCCATACTTGACATCGCACATCTTACGATGTAACTGTCATTGATGAACACATCGCGATATCAATGCTTAAACAAACGATATATCATGCAGCCCTATCATGCTGTTTTTATTACAACTGCTATGTTATTATCGTTATATTGAATATTCCTTTATACAACAATTTTGGTGTTAATACTATAATTGGTGTCTAAATACTATAATCCCCTTGTGAGGGACCCCTTCCTAATTTATAAAGGCAGCTGTATATTTTAATGGGTAAAGAAGGCCCATGTTTACTCTGTGTGAACAATATTAAGTGGTATTATAAAGATAATGTCACGCTTGGGTCCAGTAGAGAGCAAAGTAGATAATTAATTGCACAAAGAAGATCACAAAAGATCACTTCAGCATATTGAGACTAGAGCCAGACCGATATTATCGGCCGATATTAGGCATTTTGCAAACTATCGGTATCGGCAGTTATAATGACGATAAATGAATATTTCAAAAATAAAATTAAAACGGACGAAACACGCTTGAACCATGTCATGAGTGTTTGAGTTGTATAGTTTGTCCATCAGAGGGCACTCTACACCGTTCCTGTTGGCAACACTCGTTGAGTTGGTCACGAGACATACATTAAAAGAACATCCCCATCAGTTCTCTAAACTCAAATAAGCATGACAAAAAATAAATAAAATATCGGCCGATATATCGGAATATCGGATTTTAAAACCCAAAAATATTTGTATCGGTATCGGCCTTCAAAATCCTTTATCGGTCGGGCTATTATTAAGACAAGACTGTACAATCAGTGAATAAAACAAAGGACTATATATATACACAACACTGGGTAATGAACTAAACTAGACACTAGTGATGAACTGATCGGTAACTATAGATACAAATGAGAGCTACTAGAAACTCAGGAAACGGGAAATAAACAGGAATCTAGAAATCCGATATAACAGGGACCGAAAATCTTCAACGTAATAGTCTCTAAACAGAAATAATCATTGGAAAATGAACTTTTTTAGGGCTGTGAAACGATTAATCGCGATTAATCGCATCCAAAATAAAAGTTTGTGTTTACATAATATATGTGGGTTCACTGTGTATAATTATTTTATATATACTGTATATGAAACACACACATGCTTATATACATTTAAAAAAAATATTTTCATGTATATACACACAAAATAATTATACACAGTGCACCCACATATATTATGTAAACACAAACTTTTATTTTGGATGCGATTAATCGCGATACTTTTTTATTTTCTGTTTGAACAGAGATATCAAATTCAGGAAAATGTGTTAAACTAAAATTAGCTTCACATTAATTTGAGAATCCCAAAAATATTGTAAATAGTTTTGTACTGACCACCAGTACTGGGATGTTTCACTGTTTGTGAATGACTGAAGTGAACAGACATCAACAATGCAAAGCCTCAGTTCAGTTAAGGCCAATTGGCACTGCACCTACAGAAGGCGTTTGTCGGATCAGTGTGTTACCCCTGTCGTCGGCATCTGTTGGAGCTTGTTTTTGCAGATTGAACATCTGTGCTTGTCGGGTCTTGGAAAGTCTGAGAAGTGACGTACTGCAGTCTCAATTCAATTCAATTCAAACAACTTTATTTATCCCCATAGGGCAATTCAGTTTTAGCCTTCCAGTCATTTTAAACAAGACAAGACAACAATCAATCGAACATTCAGAAACACTGTCAGTGATGTTGCTTAATACAAGGACAGAGCAGGGACCCAAGTTCAAGAAAATAAATACATAAATAGATAATAATAATGATAAATAATTAAATACATACAAGGTATATGATTCACGGCACATGACTAGTTGCCACTGCCAGCATTATTTAAAAGCCCGATGACCGAAGGAATAAAAGAATTAGCATATCTGTTAGTTTTCCTTGGGGGAGCGAGGTAGCGCCGACCTGAGGGCATTAGACAGAATTCCTGACTAAGGACGTGGTCAGGATGACTCAATACTTGTCTAGCCTTCTGAAGCACCCGTTTTTTGCAGAGGGAGCTCAGGTCTGTCAGCTGAACTCCAATAATCTTGGAGCAGATTTTAACAATGCTGGTGAGGCTATTCTTGTCTCTCACAGACAATCCATGAAACCAACATATAAAAGAAAATGTTAGAAGATTTTCAATGAATGAATAATAAAAGATACATAAGATCCTCTGAGACACATTAAAAGAATTTAACTTCCGCAATAAGTGGATTCTTTGTTGTCCCCGCTTAGTGATTGATTCTGTGTTTTTGTCAAACTTTAAGTTGGAGTCAAACATGGTTCCTAAATACTTAAACGTCTCTACAATTTCAACATTTTCTCCATGTATGATGCTGGCTTCTGGGTTAAAACGATTCTTCCTAAAATCAATCAGTCTGGTGATTTGTGTGCAGTGTGAACTTTTTTTCTCTTCAGTTTTTTAATATAATGTGAAAAAGTTAGTAAGAAATATATTTTGCTTCAGTATCTAACTTTAGAAATAGGCAACTCTCGGATTGAATACTTCATAGAGAAATGAAAATTACAGTAAATTGGTGAGTAAACTTGTCGGCACTCATCTAATGTTCGTGCATTTCCAAAGAAGCATTTTCCCTTGGAGAGACAGGTATGGAAAAATTCCCAACAAAATCTTGGATGCTGTTCTTAAAAATTACTAGCTGAAAAAAAAAAAGCATTAAGGATGTTTTTTATGGTACTGAACATACATCATAACATAATAGATAGATGGAGAGATAGAGATCTGACAATAACCACCACAGTTAATAATGAAAATGTTTTTAAACTTCCCAATATAACAAAAGGTCTCAAACGTGGTGTTTTGTGCTAAAGTATCCGTCAAAAGAACTAAAATCGAATACAATATGGCTTAGTGCCTTTATCAAATCGCAAAAGTTTGTGATTTGATGAAATAATTATGCCTGTATGCCACAAATGATTATTGTCCTCTCTTGTGCTCAGGTGTTCGCCTGGGGCTACAACAACTCCGGGCAGGTGGGCTCGGGATCCACGGCCAACCAGCCCACCCCACGCAGGGTCAGCAGCTGCTTGCAGAACAAGGTGGTGGTCAACATCGCCTGCGGACAGCTCTGCTCCATGGCCGTCCTGGACAATGGAGAGGTGAGTTGAGATCAACAATAGACGAGACGAGAGTTTAATCAATCGGTTGGAAAAAAAGAATTAAAAAAATGATATTTCAATGATATTTATTCACAATCAGTATTGGGGGTACATGTGACACAAGTAACGTAATCAGATTACTTTACTTTACATTTACTGTAAACAAAATATCTGAGTTAGTTTACAAATAAGTAATGCAAGTTACTTTGTTCTCTCCTGTATTGACTGACAGCTCTCCTGTCCCCGTGTTGAGAGAGTAAATCGTGAGTAAGAGCAGAGGCGTTGTGTGCACTGTGTGTGAACATGACGATTATTGCAGTTCTAGATTAAATGTGAACATGCATTTACTCATCTCACTCACACAAAAACACATTTAGTGTTCCGCATAATGAATAAAAACAGTCAAATGCGAACTCAGATTATCACTCAAACCTGCAATAATTAAATATGTCAAATAACACATAGTTCTTAATCTCATTTTATTAACCTACGGCTCTGCTGTTGACCTTTGATCCAATTTAACCTGGGCTCCAGACTATTTGAGAGCTTTTTTTTTTTTTACTGATGGTGGCGCCAGCACCTGATTTGGTAGCACTGGGGCCATTTTTAATCATAAACTATTGTTTTGCATTAATAAGTGCTGTTACTAATACTATTACTTTTTTGTGTCAATTTCACAGTAAAGCACTGAGCTTTAATTGAGATGCAGTTGAAGTTAACTTTCATTAACAAGTGAATATAGCAAAATGCCCAGGTTTAAATCAACACTGCTCAGAGTACATATGACCCCACTCTACAGTGTTAAAGTAAATGAGATAATTAAGTGATTAAGGAGGATTAAACAATAATGGTGACCAAACATTAACTTTAAAGGCCATTGCACACCGAGTACGAAATTCGCATCCGAAATTTTCGCACGTTAAAAAAAAAATTCGACCTCACGTTATGTCAGTCACGCTTGCACACCGCCTCCGAAACTTTCGTCCGTCATAAAATTAATCGGATCGGGTTTGATTTTCTGCGTTTTTCGCATCCAGAGCAAGCATTTTGAGAGGTCTTTTGACACTTCAGGGCCGGGGGAGCTCGTCCTCAAATCATTGCATATATGCGCCGTGCTTTCAGTTTCGGTTTTCAATTCGATCAAGTGTTTATGTTCTCTTCTCTATATTGGATTATGAAATTAATAAACCTCCCCTTTCAATCAGATTGAAATTTAGGATCGAATAAGGTGTGATTGAGCAGCCTATTCGATAACTAATGTATTATTTGGGCACAATATACACAACAGCCTAGCTGTTCTGTCTGCCCAGCGCTTCCAACGGGCCGCGCGCGGGTGTGTGTGTGTCCATACCTGGTCCATACCAGACACACTGCCAGTCTCCGTTCAGAATCGATTGGTTCACGGAAATTGGTGGTCTTGTTTTTAATATGTGGCTCCAGAATCGCTAGCAAAGCATCAAACTGTCCCGCTGACATTCTGAGGTAAATTTTGAATCGCTCAGGATAAATTCGCAACTCCTTGATAAGGAACTCTCCTTCCTCTCGGCGCAATTTCAGGATTGGATGGACGTAATATTTTCTCTTTCTTCTCTTTTCAATAAGAGAGAGGGCAAAAATCATCCTCACTGCTTGACGAATCCATTTGGTATTTTTGCGTTTTTTCCCCGCAAAGGTTTAAGAAATACGCAACGGACTCGGTGTGCAAGGTTTCTATGCGTGACGAATTTTTAGGCTGACGAACACGAAAATACGCATACGAAAATTTCGTGCTCAGTGTGCAATGGCCTTAACACTGCTTCAGTGTTAAGGCGGGCGTACAGGGTACGAATTCTGATGGTCGGAAGATCGTATGTCCAGGCACACTTTACGAGTGAGTTCATCCGAAAATCGTACGGAGGCAGTGATATACGACACGATTTTACGACCTGCTGAATTCCGAAGAAATCGCACGAAGTTCTGCGCTAAACTATCATAACTGCATATAAAATATTGATACAAGCCGTGATTATTTGAGCACTGGGAAACGGACGTCCAGTCACCCTTGTGTGTGTGTGAATGAGTTAAAAAACGTAGTTATGGTGGGCCATTAAAACAAATAAAATTTCAAGCTCTCTGAATGATTAATTGGCTGTTTAAACCACCTCATGTGAGTGTTTGCAATTAATTTTACTGCGAGAAAGCTATAGCGCAGTGAACGGGGCTTGAGTGAGCTTGAGCGCGTTGTGAGTGAGGGCGCGGGTGCCAGATCCACATAATGGAAAGGTGACAGTATCTGGACTTGTTTTTTGGATTAATTTCACACTTTAGGAAGTTATTAAAGTGGTTCGTAAATATATGAATCTTATTTCCAAAACACAAGTTTTGAACTTATTTCAGATTTTTATATAATTTCTTCGTTTTTGTTAGTTTTTGCTTGTTTTTCGTAGCAATATCTGGCAACATTGTTCTGTCGGCATTAATAAAAAAAGCTTAGGCTGTAGACAAACTGTAATTGCTTTTAGGAAGAAACAAACGTAATGATCATCGTGACGTGTAAGAATCTGCAAGAAATGCATAACACTATCAAAAACAATAGCATAATAGCAGATGTTTCAGAATGAAATATGCCAAATACTGGCCAGTAGGAACACGGCAGATGCTGTTTAGTTAACCTTTCACAAAGTCATCATAAAAACATTAATTGAAGCAGTGTTCCTAGTTAGTCCACACCATTTTCGTCTTTCTTCTGTGGATTTCCTCAGCTCCTGATTGGTCAAGTTCAGATAGATCGACAAATCGGCTCATTCAACCGCACACACCTCGCGAATGCAAGCCGACAGCTCCTGAACTTTTAAGACATGCTTAAATATTATCGGGAGGTCGAGAGGTGCTCGTATCTTCCTCGCACATGATACGAGCCGCGACATGCGAGCATTTCTTCCGAGTGAAAAAAATCATCTGCGAGCTCGTAAAACAGCAAAACATCCCACCGTGTACGCCCGCCTTTATTTTAACACTCAGTAGAGTGGGACCACGCTATAGCGTGTAAAAAAAACAATGTCAATGTCAAATTGAAAAAAATTAAAATTGGATCATATTTTGAAATTTGAAACACTGTAAAAAGTGTGAAGCCTTTAAAAAGTGCTTGAATTTCACTCTTCACACCATATCGTAATTGCTGCAATGAATTATGTGATTTTCAACTTCTAAAAAGTGTTTACGTCCTTGTAGAGCTCGTAATTACAGCTTGAAGGGAGTTTTCTGAGAGCTCCTACTTTGTACCATGTGACTGCTGTACCACCTGACCACTGCAGATTCATGTGGGCGTTGATGGTGCTACTATAGAAACGCATAATTCCCAGTCCGAGGATGTGAACCGCTCAGAATATAACATCAAGTGTTGTTGTAAACATGGAGGGAATGCAGCATAAATCAATGGAGAATGTTGGTGATTTGTGGACTGAAGCCTTCTTTAATTTGTTCGTTCATTGCACAACGTTTCTTCTGGTTTTGATCTGATATGGTTTATAACAGAGAATTCTGTGCTGAATTTGGATTCATGTGCATCGGCTGGAAAAAAGCGACCATTCGGCCTCAGTCTGGAGCCATGTTAACCATACGAATAAGCAAATCATCAAATTTGGGTTTAATTGTAGTTTTTATTACTGAAGTGTTGAACTTTCTTCTCCTGCGTCCTATACTTCTGGGGTCCAGAAGAGCAGCACAGCTGAACGGCTCATTTGAGAACCCCATTTTCAGAATAGTCAGGACATTTTTTAAAATGCAATAAAATCAAGAATCTGCGATTCTGTTAATTATCTTTAACCTTTATTTAACTCCTATGTTTTCATAGAAAATTCCCATGTATTCATTAATCAACATCATTGTACTTTGTAGATATAAATATATTTTGATTTTGATGGCATAAAAATGCAAAGCATATATAATATATAATATATAAAAATATATATATATATAGAGCGTATCCAAGTTAAACTCTTTTGAAACAGTCCTTAAAGGACAACTCTGGCGCAAAATGAACCTTTGGTCTAATTACACATTGTTACGTAGTCAACCGTTATCTGAGATTTGTTTTCATGATTGCCGAATGTAAACAGTTTTATATATAAAAACAGTTTAGCCTATAACGCTAGTATATAGGGCATAGAGTAACGACAAATAAAATCGCTTGTTATTACCACTAACAAGGCTCAAAATAGCCCCACACTAACACGACAGCATAATAAGGGTCCCTACATTCAAACCGAAGCATTGAGAACTTTGTCAGTGTCCAAACAGTTTAATAAGAAGATATTTTATACACGCAGTCAACTTCGCGAATACAGGAAGAAGCCATCTTTGAAAAATAGTCTCGACCAGTCGATCTACGAACGCGGATCCAAGTGCGCTGGTGAGATGTGAATAAGGTGATAAGGTGAGCGCGAACAGTAGGCTACGTGTACATATTGAAGAGAAGAAAACGGTTTGTGTTTCTTCCGGAAACAACGGACCATATGAGATTCTGCACAGTTCAGCACACTTGGATCGGCGTTCGTAGATCGACTGGTAGAGACTATTTTTCAAAGATGGCTTCTTCCTGTATTCGCGAAGTTGACTGTGTGTATAAAATATCTTCTTATTAAACTGTATGGACACTGACAAAGTTCTCAATGCTTCGGTTTGAATGTAGGGACCCTTGTTATGCTGTCGTGTTAGTATGGGGCTATTTTGAGCCTTGTTAGTGGTAATAACAAGCGATTTTTATTTGTCATTACTCTATGCCCCATATACTAGCGTTATACTAGCGTTATAGGCTAAACTGTTTTTAAAGATAAAACTATTTACATTCGGCAATCATGAAAACAAATCTCAGATAACGGTTGACTAGGTAGCAACGTGTAATTAAACCAAAGGTTCATTTTGCGCCGGAGTTGTCCTTTAATGGTAATAGGTGTGGGTATCAGGTTTGGGTGTAAAAGGAGCATCCACCAAAAACAAGGCTCACCACTTTGTGTCAAATCTCATGCGAGAACTGTCAAACAATTGTGATTTATTCATTTATCAATCCAAGTGAATTTGCATTTCCTTCAGCCTGAGGCTCATTCATTTCACTTTTGGTGTGAAAGGGCCTGAACATTTGCCAAAGATAGAGCTTTTTTTTAAAAATAAAGAAACAAACAAGCGCCAACCCAGACGAGAAAAATGAACCCGACGCATTACTTTCCAGAAAAAGTAACCAACACAATTGGTGACTTTTTTTTTTTAGGGAGAAACTCAATTTTGTAACGCATTACTTTTAAAAGTAGCTTAACTTAACACTGTTCACAAGTAACAACATGTATTAGTATTTGTTGGATTAGCACCCGCATAAATACATTTAAATTCCTTATTACAGAGTTTAGGCATGTGTCATGGGCCTTGAATAAATTGTTTTATTTTTTTAACTACTTGAACCAAGTACAGTGAGCATTCAGTCGGGACATGTTTGAATGCTGTCTGGACATGATATTTAGTTCAGGAACTCAGTTTTATTATGTTGCAAACTAAACTATTTTGCAAACTGTGATTGTAACTGTCTTGGCTGGCAGCCAGGAAGTTCATTTTTGTGCCTAATTATGTCTTACAAACAAATACCATGAGAAACCGTGAGAACAAGTACTTGGAGCCTTTATTTTGCTACATTCATCTAGTTTCTGGATTATGGAGGTGGTGAGTTTTTAAAACTCTTTACTACTGTTACTAATGTTGTGGATACTTTCCTCACACTCAATGTTGAGTTTTTCTTGTGATAATTGTTGTTGGTTTTCTGTTGCTGTAATCAGCACTAGGTTTAACTCAAGGCTCTGTGTCCACAGACATATGGCTGGGGTTATAACTGCAATGGGCAACTCGGTTTGGGCAACAATGGCAACCAGCAAACCCCCTGCCGGATCGCTGCCTTACAGGGAATCAACATCGTACAGGTGACTAATGAAGACTTCTGGGTACTAATCAGTGGGGCATGGTGGCTTTTGTGGCAGAAAATGACAAAACTAATTATATTATTTGCTAATAATAATATAACAGCATACATTTCAAGTCACATCAAAGTCTCAATTTATGCAGATTTACTTTTTTTTTGCATTGATTCACAATAACTACTAATAATATGCTAAAATGCTTTTTTGTTGCATTATTTGATTCAAAATTAGGGGTGTAACGATATTCTCATGTCACGATTCTATACATATCACGAATCACGATACTGAACTCCCGATACGATATTATTGCGATACTCCAAGACATTTGGTAAAAGGTTAACAAGAAATGTACTGTGTTTGATATTACGTTGTGGGTTTAAATGAATAGTCTTGGACTCGGTGCTTGTAACCCAAGGACAATGGTGACACCAGAATAACAATATTCATGATTCTGAAGCTGAAAATACAGAATTATTTTAGACGAGTATGCATGCACTCTTTCACTATATATTTAAAATAATGTCGGCCACTTTTTACTGGTCACATGAGACATTTGGCATTATCAGGAATCACAAATATTCCCACATTGCATATACATTATAATCAACATTATGAATAGTAGTTTATTGTAGTACTGACACTAAAACTCTGGAAAAAAATAGAACTTTTTACAAAATATTGTCACTATCCATCCACGATATGTATTGTTGCATTTTTTTGTGTTGCGTTATATTGTGGCACGATATATTGTTACACCCTTAGTAATAATATAGTAAAATGTTGTTTGAGTATTTTAGTATTTATTAATATTTTGCTCTTATTTTCTGTTATTGTTTTAACTACTATTTTTTTAAAAAATGTGTCTATTTAGCTTTAATTTATATTTAATTCAGTTTTAGTTTGATTAATTTGAGTTCTTAAGTACAACTTGAACTGATTTGATTTCAGTTAGAGGCAACATTGCTAATTTTCAATTAAGTGCTTTTAGGTTCTAAAATTTAAGTTAATTTAATATATACATTTATATATATATATATATATATATATATATATATACCTATACACACACATATAGACCATTTCACAAGATGTAAACAACACTGGTCCAGAAGCACTTCCTGTTTCAGTTTGTAACTGTTTTCTTTATTTCACATGTAAAGAAAACATCTTAAAGATATTTGTTTAACTTTTTGATTCACTTTTATATGTTCTGTTGGTTGTATTTTATCCCAGCTTTTGTGTAGTGTTAAAAAACTGAAACAGGAAGTGCTTCTGGACCAGTTTTGTTTACATCTTGTGAAATGGTCTATATATATATATATATATATATATATATGTATGTGTATATAGTTGTAAAAAAATGTATTTTATTTCAGCTTTATTTCTATTAAGTGTTTTAGTTAAGAGTAACCACAATGGTAAAAATGTTTATTATTGTTTTATAATAGTGAGAGATTTATTCACTCTTTGGTATTTCGTAATGTTCTGTTTTGTTGTTCTGTGAGTTATTTTGTAATCCATAATTTATTTGAGTAGGTCTTGATATCAGGAAATAACCTCTGGTATTATTTATTATTGTTTGTGCATGACCTTTAAATGATCAACAAAATGAACAAAAGGAAATAAAATGATAAAACATATTAGACAAAAAAAAAAAAAATGAAATGATAAAATGGTTGACCTATTTTTGGTATATGGTCATGCCAGTCATCATTTGCTTTGAAACAGTGTGTGATTCTCCTGTTCAACCGCATGAATAGCCAAATTAACCAGTGTAATTGTAAACATTCACCTGTCGTCGTTCATGTATGGTGCCTCTAGCCCTGATCCGTCTTCTCTCCACAGGTGGCATGTGGATACGCACACACATTGGCTCTGACAGACGAGGGATTTGTTTACTCCTGGGGTGCGAACTCCTACGGGCAGCTGGGTACGGGCAATAAGAGCAACCAGGCTGTGCCCACCCTCATCAACATGGACAAGGAGAGGTGAGATCCACACCTGACTGACTCCACAGACACCGTTGATATGGTGGAAATAATCTACCTGTCATCTTCTCACCTGGTGCGGTTAAACGCATCTGGCTGACAGATTAGACATACTGCTATTCATACCCACGTCATGTATTTCCTTAACTTCTAACAAAGACACAATCTAATTGAGTGAGACAAGTAGGTCAGTGAAATATGTGGTTCATAAAGTGAGGAACGGTTCAACAGGAACTGTTTTCACACATGGGCGTCCAGTCAAGAAACTGAGAGAGCCCTTCTCAGATATTAGAAATTAGAAAAAGGTCTGCTTGTTTAGTTTTAACAATTTAAAACACTAAAGATCCGTTTATTTCTACACTTTTGGATCGAGACAAGAAGGCGCAGCACGTGGCCTACAATTTTACTGTACTTGAAAATATCAACATACACGTTTTTAAAATAATAAGAGATGATTTATTTGTGACTGTGTATAACAATCTAGACCTAAAACCAACTGTCCTTGGACCATAATGCAGTACTGTACTTCAAATAAACAGAATAGATGTGTCAAATAAACATACTGGAAATTGTTTAATGGTTTACACAAAAATATTAAGCAGCACAACAGTTTTCAATAATCAGAAATGTTTCTTGAGCATCAAATCATCATATTAGAGTGATTTCTGAAGGGTCATGTGACACATCACATGAATAAATTACATGTTACTATAATTTCAAATTTCAAATGGGTATTTTAAATTGCAATTATATTTCACAACTGTTTTACTGTGTTTTTGATTTAAATAAATGTGTGTGAGAGAATATGTTTAGAATAATCCAAAAGAGTTCCTCTGTAAATAAACCTTTTTCTTTCCAGGTCTCAAGATTATGTTTTTTAATAATGTGTCAATAACTTAAAGAATACTTTTTGCCGATATTTCCTAATTATTTTACCGTTTACCAATCAAAATGTGTCTTAACTTATGTATCAGACGTATGAAGAAGCTTTTAATGATATAACAGCAGCATCTGTGTCTCCTGCAGAATGGTGGAGGTCGCTGCGTGTCACACCAGTCACACGTCAGCGGCCAAAACACAGAGCGGTCAGGTGCTGATGTGGGGTCAGTGTCGGGGTCAGGCTGTGGCTTACCCTCACCTCACACACTTCACCAGCACCGACGACGTCTTCGCCTGCTTCGCCACACCGGCGGTCACCTGGCATCTCCTGTCCGTGGGTAAGAGCGCTGTTCCGACATCAGCTTTCTCACTGGATACTAAAGCTTGTGTTTTCACTTAGTGTAAAGAAAATACTTTTTGTTGCTATTTACTCTTAAAGGGATAGTTCATCCCGTGATTTACTCACCCTCAAACCATCCTAGGTGTAAATGACAATCTTCTTTCAGACGAATTTTAGACGAGTTATATAAAAAATGTCCTGGCTCTTCCACGCTTTATAATGGCAGTGAATGGACGTTTCTGTTTTGAAGTCGATAAAAGTGCATCCATTCATGATAAAAGTGCTCCACGCGTCCCTGGGGGGTTAATACAGGCCTTCAGAAGAAAAGTGATGCGTTCGTGTCAAAAAAAATATCCATATTTAAAACTTTATTGACTAAAATAACATAACCGACTGACGGCTGTACGCATTGATTTACGGCGAAAGAGTAACACTTGACCCAAAATAGAGCAGAACAAAACACCAGTCACGATTTAGAAGTCTAAAACGACGAAATCTAAAGAGAAATGTTATTTATGTGTGTGTGTGTGTGTGTGTGTGTATATATATATATATATATATATTAACGCCGTAATTTTTTTTTATCGCGTGATTAACGGTCTTTTTGGCCTTGCAAACTTTGTAGTTTTTTTTTTTTTCATATGCTTTTGCAACAAGACGCGGCGCTTCGTCGTCCAAAGCGCAAGCGGATCTAGCTAGACCTGAAACAAAACAACATGCACTTCGCACACACTTGTTTGGGCTTGCGAGCCGCCTAAATAGTTGTTTAATGTTACGTTTTGAGTGGATGACGAGCGCGAGACGCCGAAATGGATGCCAATAAGATTCTGAACAGAAAGTTTAATTTTAAAAAGTTGCCAAATGGTCCCATTGACGAGACCAAAGTGATCTGTGTGTTTTTGTCGTTGTGAACTGAGCTATCGTCATCGCAGCACGTCCAGTCTGAAATACCACTTGATGATGGCCAGGCACACACACACACACACACACACACACACACACACACACACACACACACACACACACACACAGATGATGCGAATTCTCCGCCCCCTCATCAATATCAGGACCTCGTCAGTATTTCTTTCCCTCTTTTATTGATGGACAGTTACATTGTGTGAGAGATTATTTGCTCCAAGTGAGAACGTTAGTGTGAAATTGAACACGGTATAAGCCAACATTATTTTCAATAAAAAAACATTTGCACAAAACAAGCTGATCCACTTTTCCGTGTTGATGAGCAATAAAATGAGAAAAAATAATAATAATGGGACAAAAAGAAATCAAGAGACATTTAGAATAGATAAAAATGTACGATTAATGCGATTAAAACAGTAATGCGATTTAAATATTTTAATCGTTTGACAGCACTAATATATATATATATATATATATATATATATATTAGGGGTGTAATGATACTCGCACATAATGATTCACGCACAGACCATTTTTCTTGCTGACTAAAATTTCGTTATATCAAATGTAGGCGCGTTGCGCGTGGCATGTGTGCCGCTCATAATGTAAGGCCCCGTTCACACCGCAAGTCTTAATGCTCAATTCTGATTTTTTGCTCAGATCCGTAAACCAGGAACAAACATTGTGCCATGAATGAACTATCCAGTGTCCACAGATCAGCAACGATCACCATGGATTTACTGTATTATAACACTACAAACTGTTACCATGGGAGTTTGGTAAGAATAGTCGGCTATAATGCTTTCAAGTAACATCACGTCGGTTTTAATTTGACATTATGAATACAATTGCTGCCCTCAGATGTTAATCTGAACTAAAATAAACTTTTGTTTATAACTACTACAGTATTACATTTCATTTTGTCCAAGGAACTGTTTTGTTTTATAAGCTCCTAAGAAAAGTCAAGTATAGCTCCATCATTGCTCAAAGTTAAAAAATATCATACTTTATGAGGTTAGTTTTAATAAAAATATAATAAAAAAAAAAATTAAATCAAGGAAATTTCTTTGGCATTTCTTTCTTTTTGCTGTATTGGAAACATACCGAACCAAACCGTGACACAAGTGTATCGTATCGTATCGAACCGAACCGTGAATTTTGTGAACCGTTACACCCCTAATTAGTATATATACACCCCTAATTAGTATATATATATATATATATTATCTGGAAATATTTTATTTCCAGATAAAATATTTGCTCTCAAATAAAAGCTGAAATGTTTGTACACAACGTAAGTTAGTTTTCATAAACTCTTCTTCATGGCAAATCATGCCTTGCTTCTTCAATGCCATTTATCGTTTGAATTTCATGATAAATCGTACAGAATTTGAAAACCTAGACTTTGTTTCTTATCCGAAGTAGCATAGCACAGAGCTCTTGGCGATTATTGGATCAGAGGTGCTACAAATAATGTTTGCTGTTGGGAAAACCACAGATCTAGCAGCCTGGGCTTGAACTACGGGTGATTCATAAGGTCAAATGAGGCTTGCATTAATGTTGCTATTTTGTAACTGTTAAAGCGTCATTGTCGCGTTAACTTGCTCTAAATTCAACAAGAGATTTTCTTTTACACACAGTATGATTTGCAGTTTGACATGTTTTTCCACACCCTTTTGATTGACAGGATATAATCAGCCCTGATCATCAGTTTGTAAACAATCGGCGATAGCAAAAATGATACATTTAATTGTCTGATACCTATTATTGGCAGATACATCTATGCATCTCTAATACACACACATACATACATATATATATATATATATATATATGAAGAGTTCAGATGCAAAAGCCTCTAAATGCCATTTGAAATTTTCTTCTAAAAAGACCATTTTTATCAAGCTTGTATATTTAAGTTTAGTAATTTCACTTAAATAACAATTAATCGGTAATCTTCATTGTCATTTAAGTGAAATTACTGAACTTAAATATATAAGCTTGATAAATGATCATTTTAGAAGAAAATTTCAAATGGCACTTAGAGGCTTTTGCATCTGAACTCTTCATATATATATATATATATATATATATATATATATATATATTGAACCCAACTACGTATTATTTTATGTTGTATTTTCTGACTGTTTCCTGCTCACTAGATGGAGATGACTACCTGACTGTTGCCCAGTCACTAAAGCGAGAGTTTGACAGCCCAGAAATCTCTGACCTAAAGTTCCTGGTTGATGGCAAGTGTATTCATGTGCACAAAGCCCTTCTTAAAATCAGGTAACCTGAAACCTGCAATCAAATAATCTCTACAGCCTTTTGCCTTTTTGGTAAAAATCTTATCTGTTGTGTGAGTAGTCAACAGATTTGGGTTTTCCCCTCCGGTATCCCATCATTAAACGCGTCCTCAGCACTCGCAGCTGAGCGGTTGACATGAGCGTGTACAGACACACTCCTGTATTGCTCTTTGTCTCTACAGTCACTGTTTTAATATTCGGAGCCAGGTGTTCTGTTTTGTATCTTATGAGAGCGGTTCTGTAGTGAAAGTTTGATTGTTTTTCTTTCCAGTTGTCAAAACAAATGAGAGTCTGAGATGCAAGTGCAAATTAGACATGATAATACAGGGCCAACTAAGACATGTAGTGTAGTTCAGCTTCACTGCACAATGTCAATAATACTAGAGGAGTTTGTGCCTGTACACAATGATTTTTAAACAATTTTATTTATGGGATTAAAGTGTATAATACTACGGTGAGACATTGCTGCCACATACATATTGTTTTTCCACTCAGTTATGTCGTAATAGCGAGATGCTATGTCGTTAAAACAACATATTTTCTTGGCCTTATGAGGACATGTGTAGTCATGTAGAAAATATGCCTTTATCCACATAACATGTATAGCCTATCACGCCTTTATCATGCATCTGCGTTCAAAAAGCTGAAGCGAATAGAAGCTCCTCTATATTTTTTTATTTGTTTAAATAGGCCTACCATTTTTTTTCTTTCATATAATATATTAATATATCATTTTTGTTTTTCTAAATAGGCAATATATTCATTACCTAGAGATATAATTAAAACAAAGTAGTCAAAACACGTATAACAGAACATTTTTCATTTTTTACAATATTGTACATTTACGTTTATTCATTTAGCTGACGCTTTTATCCAAAGTGACTTATAATTATTAGGGTTGGGTATCGAGAATCGAGTATCGATTGGAACCGGGACTAACTTTTCGTTTTTCCCGGAATCGTTCAAAAGTTAAAATTTCGATTCCTAGTTTCGATATTCACAGTCTGCCGAGCGAAAGAAGAAACCGCTGAACACCACCAATGAAGAAGCGTCTACCGGAAGTGTTGGCATAACCGCGCGAGTCAAACATGAGTAGCTTACGTCGGCGGTCCAAAGTGTGGCTTCACTTGTCTAAAAATGACAAAATCTCGGCAAAATGCTAAATTTGTGACAAAAGGAGTATTTCCTTCAGAAAGACCGTTGGTTAGGAAGGTTAGCTAAACTTTTTTGACCCTGCCTCTTAAAAGAATCGGAATCGAGAATCGTTAGGAACCGGAATCGAAACAAGGAATCGGAATTGGAATCAGAATCGTTCAAATTCAAACGATACCCAACCCTAATAATTATATATGTCAGAGGTCGCTAGCTACTAGGCGTTACGCGTCTTGCTCAGGGACACATTGGTGTCTCACAGTGGATTCGAACCTGGGTCTCTCACACCAAAGGCATGTGTCTTATCCACTGTGGCATCACCAGACCCATTGTGTTCTTATTTTTTTTAATTAACGAAATGTATATAGGCTATTCGTCTTTATTACAGAAGATACAATAATATACAAACATCTTCAAGACACAGCCTACAGTCTTCACATGCATAACGGATTGTCACCTTAAAAACAGTCCTTGTGGTGGAATAAGCAATGCTATATAGAAATATTTGGTTAGCATCTTAATTGAAACTTTATTTTATTAGTTCATTAACTAATTATGCTAACTCAGTAATTCGTATCCAACTCTTTACATTCAATTAGTTAAAGGGACGTGCAACACAGAAGCGCTACGTGAACTCACTCGAGGCCCGCAGAGAAGGAAATGAATAGTTGAATATAGTTGTGTTTTTGCGCACAAAGTATTTTCGTAGCTTGATAAAATTAAGATTGAGCCACTGTAGTCACTCGGACTATTTTAACGATGTCTTTAAGTGCCCTTTCACAATTAAAAGCAATTAGGACACGTTTATATTCAATCCTGGGCGCACACAGTCAGGTCCATAAATATTGTGACATCGACGCAATTCAAATCTCTATACACCACCACAATGGATTTGAAATGAAACGAACAAGATGTGCTTTAACTGCAGACTTTCAGCTTCAATTTGAGGGTATTTACATCCAAATCAGGTGAACGGTGTAGGAATTACAACACTTACTCCCACTTTTTAAGGGACCAAAAGTAATGGGACAATTGGCTGCTCAGCTCTTCCATGGCCAGGTGTGTGTTATTTCCTCATTATCCCATTTTCAGAGAGACCCCTCGCTGCAGCCTGTAGCACGATGACGTAGCTGGATGGTCCAATACGTGTTGGACCCTGTAACGCGCGCATGCGCACTAGTCAAGTCAAGTCATCTTGATTTATATATCGCTTTTAACAATTTAGATTGTTTCAAAGCAGCTTTAAATAGATACGCATATAATTTAATGTAACAGATTGTTTTTGCTTTATAGCGGTTCATGAATAATGTTATTTTACAGCTAAAGTTAGTTTGCTTTTGATTCTGTCGAAATAATTTGTTATTAAATTAGGGGATGACACCGTTCTCTCTAAACAGACTTTAAACGCGATCCTGTGATAAACGCTGATGGCACATGCACATTAAGAATTCATAGGCCTAGTTAGTGTAGAGAGTTGGTGCATAATCGTTGATCTTCCAATACATTTAAATATGGTCACGAGCGAAGCTCTTATTTTCAGAGCTTTCAGAATAAAACTTTTTTTTTTTTTTTTAATAATTGCGACTTTTTCCTTACAATTGCGAGTATACTTTTCGCATACTGACTTTATTTCTCAGAATTGTGAGATATAAAGTCAGAATTGCGTGAAATAAAGCCTCAATCGCATGTTATAAAGACAGAATTAGGTGAAATAAAGCCTCGATCGCATGTTATAAAGACAGAATTGGGTGAAATAAAGCCTCGATCGCATGTTATAAAGACAGAATTAGGTGAAATAAAGCCTCAATCGCATGTTATAAAGACAGAATTGCGTGAAATAAAGCCTCAATCGCATGTTATAAAGACAGAATTAGGTGAAATAAAGCCTCAATCGCATGTTATAAAGACAGAATTAGGTGAAATAAAGCCTCGATCGCATGTTATAAAGACAGAATTGGGTGAAATAAAGCCTCAATCGCATGTTATAAAGACAGAATTGTGAAATAAGCCTCATCGCATGTTATAAAGACAGAATTAGGTGAAATAAAGCCTCAATCGCATGTTATAAAGACAGAATTAAGTGAAATTAAGCCTCAATCGCATGTTATAAAGACAGAATTAGGTAAAATAAAGCCTAAATCGCATGTTATAAAGACAGAATTAGGTGAAATAAAGCCTCAATCGCATGTTATAAAGACAGAATTAGGTGAAATAAAGCCTCAATCGCATGTTATAAAGACAGAATTAAGTGAAATAAAGCCTCAATCGCATGTTATAAAGACAGAATTAGGTGAAATAAAGCCTCGATCGCATGTTATAAAGACAGAATTGGGTGAAATAAAGCCTCGATCGCATGTTATAAAGACAGAATTAGGTGAAATAAAGCCTCGATCGCATGTTATAAAGTCAGAATTGCGTGAAATAAAGCCTCAATCGCATGTTATAAAGACAGAATTAGGTGAAATAAAGCCTCAATCACATGTTACAAAGACAGAATTAGGTGAAATAAAGCCTCGATCGCATGTTATAAAGACAGAATTAGGTGAAATAAAGCCTCAATCGCATGTTATAAAGACAGAATTAAGTGAAATTAAGCCTCAATCGCATGTTATAAAGACAGAATTAGGTGAAATAAAGCCTCAATCGCATGTTATAAAGACAGAATTAAGTGAAATTAAGCCTCAATCGCATGTTATAAAGACAGAATTAGGTGAAATAAAGCCTTAATCGCATGTTATAAAGACAGAATTAGGTGAAATAAAGCCTCAATCGCATGTTATAAAGACAGAATTAGGTGAAATAAAGCCTCAATCGCATGTTATAAAGACAGAATTAGGTGAAATAAAGCCTCAATCGCATGTTACAAAGACAGAATTAGGTGAAATAAAGCCTCGATCGCATGTTATAAAGACAGAATTGGGTGAAATAAAGCCTCAATCGCATGTTATAAAGACAGAATTAGGTGAAATAAAGCCTCGATCGCATGTTATAAAGACAGAATTGCGTGAAATAAAGTCGCAATTGTGTACTATAAAGTCAGAATTCTGACCTTTTTTCTCGCAATTCTGAGTGTATTACATAAATGCGAGTTTATTATTACAAGATTTATTTTCCCCATGCTGTTATTATTTTAGCATTTTCCTTACTTATTCATCCATCAATAATTACTTATAATTATTTAACAGTATTATACTACACAGTTTGAACATCATCTCAGTACAATATTGAGCTTACATATCACTTAAAACCAATGCATTCGAATTATAATCAGAGATCGGCACTGCGCATGCGTAAATGACGTCACCAAAACACACATCCATCCACTACGTATTGGACCATCCAGCTAGGTCATCGTGCTACAGGCTGCAGCGAGGACCTCTTGCATTTTCAAGGAGCATATAGAAGGTCCACAGTTCATTTCAAGTGTGCTATTTGTTGCAGTCAACTCTCAATATGAGATCCAAAGAGCTGTCACTATCAGTGAAGCAAGCTGTCATTAGGCTGAAAAAACAAAACAAACCCATCAGAGAGATAGTAAAAACATTAGGTGTGGCCCAACTGTTTGGAACATTCTTTAAAAGAAAGAATGAGCTCGTTTATTAATCAACTAGTGTTTTCTAAATCAGTGTCGGCTGCAAACATATCTCCATATCTCCGCTGTAAAGTAGATGCGCCTTAAAATGCACCTTTTATACCGACAGGATTACATTATTTGATTCGATTTTTTTCGTTGGTGGAAATTTCAAGCGTTATATAGATATATTTCTCATGTCTGTGAGGCTAGTCTTTCAGTTCATTTTGGAGCGCGTGCTCCAATTCACGGAGACCATGAAAGCGCGTCCTGTTCGTTTTCTTTTCTTTTACAAAAGCACAACGTAGGGCTGGGCGATATGGCGTAAAAATAAAGTCTCCGATTTAATTTTTTTGAATTTTATTAACAAAACTATGTTTTGAGTGGTGAGGGGAGTCTCTTAAATGCTTAAATTGGCCATTGCGTTCAAGAAATCAACACATATGGTATGTCTATGATTGGCTACATCGCTCAACGCTGCAAACATGTTATAAATAGAAACTCTGGCCTGTAGATCGTTTCTATTTTGTTTTAGTTGTTCTTGATGCTTTTCTGCAACAGATGAACACAAGTCTATTACTTTTTATGTTTTAATCATATATATATCTAGTTTGCGGGAGTCCCGTGAATCGTTTTATGCTCCCACAAGCCGCACACACAGAGCGAGTGCATTACCGCCCGCGCTCGGCCATCAAATCTAGTCCCGCGCCACACTCTATAGGCAGGCAGTACACGTCTCTCAAGGGCCTGACCCGACCCGAGGATAGTGACTGGAAATATCGGCCCGACCCGCTCGGGCAGAATAAGCTCTAGTTCCCACTCTCACCGGTAGCCATGTTGTTGCTTGCTGTATGATGTTGCCGTTTTGCGTGTGCTATGATGTTGTTGTTGTCGCTTGCCATTCTGCTATGTGAGTGAAACTAACGCTACGGAAACTCCGGGGAGCCAAAAATGTGACATTACACAAAAACTCGATTTACTTATTTTTTTAAATCGCCCGCAACGAAAAATTCGAATTAATTAATTAAATAGATTTTTCGCCCAGGCCTAGCGCAACGTTTTCTTGTTATTGTGAGTTTACACAAAAGTAGTTGAATCATGTATTATTCTTTTCTGTTTGATCAGAAATGGAGTATTTCAAGTTGTTTCCACTATTGAAAATGCGAGTGGTGGCGCCGGCGCCTCCATGCCATGCAGTGAGCGCGCTACACACTCTGCACGAACACTGGGATATGCGCCTAATAATAGCGAACATTTATCTAGGTTAACGTTAGAGCGAGCGGCCATTCCAGACGGATAAGTCCTCTTCATGTTTAACAAATCAAATTATGCATTTTCTACTGTGAGTAAGCGGCGGAAACACAACACTTGGCTTATAGGCTACAGATAAACGCCCAACGCTGGTGTTTTGCTTTAAATAAATTTGTTTAGGCTTTAAAATAAATATAAATTAAATAAAAAATAAATTAAAAAAAATGTTTGTGGGCCAATAAATGCCACAATAATTTATGGGCTAATTTTATAGGCTACTCATATTTTTCTTTTTCTTTTTTTTTCAGAATTTTTTCGTTTAACATGAATGTCCATTGGGAGCTGCTATCGCTCCAGCTTTTTGAATGTAGAAGTATGATGAAGGCATGATTGGCTATATACATTTTATGTGGATAAAGGCATATTTTGTACATGACTTGTTGAAAAATATCTTGTTATTGCGAGAAATGTATTTAGTTTCAATGGCATAACATCTCGTTATTACAAGAAATATGTTTCGTTTAACAACATAAGAGTGTTATTACGACATTGAGTGGAAAAATAATGTACTTGGCAGCAATGTGTCGCCGTATGATACAAAACAGATCAGCATTATTCATTAAATAGTTTATATGACTGTTGCATTGTATGACTAAGCACCAGTCTCTCACTAACACACACACACACACACACACTCTTTCTCACACTCTCACTGTCTCTGTCTCTCTCACACACACTATCTCACTCTCACAAACACACACACACACTCTTTCTAACTATCTCACTCTCTCGGTCTCTCACACTATCTCACCTACACACACACACAAAAAAACTGATTTTTTTTTTTAAATAAACATTGTATGGTAAAGACAAAAACAATAGAGTGATTGTTTCTGAATGCACTCCCCCCTCTCTCCATCTCTGATGGCATGTATTTGTGAATAAATGATCCTTCTGAGCTGTTAAAAGTAACAGATTTATTTTTTACAATAGATGGAATTGTTAACAAACATCAAAAATAAATCACATTAATTAAAAAAAGGCATTTTGTGGTTGTGTTGATACTGTAGGTGTGAGCATTTCCGAGCACTGCTGAACGAGACCGATGAAGAGGCCATAGAGATCCATCAGTTCTCTTATCTGGTGTATCGCGCATTCCTGGAATACCTGTACACTGATACCATCAACCTCCCACCCGAGGACGCCATTGGTAAAACACCCCTTCATGCCGACGGCCATATCACACTCTCAACTCAACTGAACGCAGATATATAGCTGTTTAAAATGGTTTTAGATGGAGTCTGTGATGATGTTGTTTGGTCTTTATGGTCCTGTGATGGTTTGCATTGTAAAGGTCTGCTGGATTTGGCCACATACTACCGTGAGAGTCGTCTGAAAAGACTGTGCCAGGAGACCATCAAGAGAGGCATCACAGAGGAGAACGCTGTAACGCTGCTCTCGGCCGCTGTCAAGTATGAAGCACGGGTGAGACTCGATCATTCAGCCGTATATCCATCCACTTACACACAGGTCCTGTTCCAAACGTCCGTGATTAACATTAGGGTGATGCTAAGCTAACAACTCAATACTAAAAGATAGCTCATGTGGAGTACGCAGTAGACTCAACTTGCACATTTGCTACACTAATGACGTGGTACACTAATAATTACAAATACAAAGAACACCGATATTGTGTTAAATAGCTCATGAGGTGCAGAAAAGATTCAGCAGAGTTTGATGTTAGCATATTACAGCTTGTTTGTTTTTTTACAATCACTAGGACCCAGTTTTCTCAGTTTCCCAGGTAATTTTTCCAAACTCTTTATAGTTTCTCAACCAAATTTCCATCTTGGCACAAGCACTACCATATAACACGTAATTCATGTCTCAAATCAACTCTTCAAGTTTTTCACCCAATAAACCCAATGTCACTCATAAAACCACCTAAAAAACACTAACAAACAATCTTTATAAAACAACAATCGCACTCTCAACTGTTTATGAACTGCAGTTTAAGTTACATGGCCTGTGTTTATATTGCTGAAAAACATTTTTCCTAAATTTTGACCTTATGTCTAGATTGTAATGAATTAAAGACTAATACTTCAGCTGTATCTTATTGTTTTGTGTATTACGAATCCAAAAACTAAAAAATTATATTTTTATGTGGTATTACTGTAAAAATGTAGCAAACTGCTGTCTTTCAGCTTTGTATTATGTTAAGAGTATGTTGAAAAGAGTATGTAAGCATATGCAAAATTAGTTGTATAGAGTTTAATTATTTTCTTACTTTGACATAATGTAATTAGAAAGATGAAGTCATTGAAGGCATTTCGTGACAAAACAATGGTAAATTAGCCATGCGCTGCTGTTGTGCTAACTGTGTGAAGAGCTTTGAAAAAGTGACCCAAGATAAAACCTAGCTATTGTAAAAAAAAACTTGCTGATGACTTAAAACACTAATAAGAAATAAATTTGGAAATGGCTGATACGAAGCGCAAAAAGACTCAACTAACATTCACAGTTGATTGAGTTTGATGTTAGCATATTGCTAAGCAAGCAATCCAATATTTTAGGGTTGCCACCCGTCCCATGAAATATGGGATTGTCCCGTATTTAAAGGTTAAATGATACGTCGCGTATCAAGTCAATGGTTGACCCTTATTTTGCCACACATAAGTTCAAAGCCTGGGTTCATAAAACACTATAAAATTCGAACTATTTTCTTCTTATTTTTAAACTTATGGCAATTTTCAAGCAGCACAAAACATTTAGTGAATCTTCGGCAAGAATCTTCATAAAATCAGATAATGCCAATAATGTAAATTCTTCTTAAAGTTGTTATATGCAGAATTCAGAAACGCTTGTTTTTAGCGACACCGGTGGCCATTGAAATGAACTGCAGCCGGCAACTTATGCTTGTGCTCACAAAACGTAGAGACTGAGCAGCTAACAATTCAATATTCTAGGGTTGCCACCCATCCCATAAAACATTGGGATTGTCCCGTACATAAAGGTTAAATGATACGTCCCGTATCAAATCAATGGTTGACCCTTATTTTGCCACACATAAGTTCAAAAGCTGGGTTCATAAAACACCATAAAATTCAAACTATTTTCTTCTTATTTTTAAACTTATGGCAATTTTCAAGCAGCACAAAACATTTAGTGAATCATTTAGTGAAAGTTGCAATATGCAGAATTCAGAAACGCTTGTTACTTATTAGCGACACCCGTGGCCATTGAAATGAACTGCAGCCGGCAACTTGTGCTCATGCTCACAAAACGTAGAGACTGAACGTGATTCAAGGTCCCTATATACTCCCGGCGAAGTTCTTTTTCATTCTTTGCTTAGTAGTAAAAAGAAGTTGTAAACACCTTAATACCTCATAAACTGTTAACGAACATCCAGGTGGATATTTACATATAACATTTAGATGAATATGTAAATGTGTGCTGCACACTTTCCTCTCAATAACAAAATAAACAACAAAAATTGGCGCAATTAGAAAAGCGTAGTTGAGAAAGCATCTGATCGTAGCGATATGGATATGTTTGCAGCGGCTCTGCGATTCACCGGCATCATGTCGACTGATAAGGTCGTTAAATTTACACTCTTATGATAGTTTGATTAATGAGTATATTTGAGGCTATAGACTTTATAGATCTGTCTGTGAGACTACAGTTTGAATTAATCTCTTTTTTTGCATGAAACAGTGACATTACAGTACGGAATGGCTCTTTGATTATAATCCTGAACATTGTATAAGCATTCATTTCATGAAGAGGGGCTCGCGGGAGCATGTAGACGTCACATCCTTTTGATTTTCCTGCCGAGTCCTTCACATAAAAATCTGTCTACAGGCTTGCATAGAGAACCTTGGAAGTCAGGAAGGTTTTGTTTTTTGAGATTCGTTAAAAGCTGGTTTATATTGGCAATAAAAAAGTGATTAATACATGAAAAATTGTACATATAGCCCCTTTAAGGGGAAAAAATATATTCTCTCATCATTTACACACCCCCATCAAAACTATTTTTAGGATTTACTAACACAGATGTGAAATTTATTTGATGAGAGATTTTAAATGAATCATGCTAGGTGATTAACTAAGGTTTGCACCTGTCGATTTATTGGTATTATTTATCGCCCAAATAATTTGCTAATTTGCGCTGCTCTTGGTAGATTGTGTTGGTCATTATGGAAATTATCCGGCTGCGTCTTTTTCAGTTGAACTTTCCACTCCTATACGCTCTTTTTTTGCGCTGTAAAACCCAACAAGTTAAGCTAACTCATTTCATTTGAGGAAACTGATTGCCTCAATTCATTTAAGTTTATAAAACTTAACTCTCTCAGTACTCTGAACTTATTTTATTGGAGTTCACTAAAACAGTAATATTTCTTAAAACATAATTACACTTTACAATGCTTTTAATACTGTATATAACTGAAACTTGACAGTGAAATGACAAACTTTAAATGAACTCAGAGCACTTGCAGTTACTTTAATAAATCTGTCCCTATATGTTCGGAGCTTACGCTAAAGTTATGCGCAATACTCCAAATTCCAGGCGGAAATTAAGGCCCTGAAAAGATCAATACAATTTTCCCATGAAAAAAATATCACAACACTAAGCTGTATCGTTTGTTTCCGCCTATGATAACTGTAAGTTAGCACATCTATGAGGTCTAAAAATATTGTCTAGGTAGACAGCTCGCTAGGATTTGGAACAGAGCCCTAAACATGTACATATATTTGCGGTTTCATATATTATTCTGTAGGTCTTTGGTGGTGGTTCTCTTTCTCATTGAATCAGTCCGTCCGCTCTTCATGTGCAGGATCTGGAAGAGTTCTGTTTCAAGTTTTGCGTTAACCACCTGACGGCCATCACTCAGACGCAGGCCTTCGCCGACATGGACCACGATCTGCTGAAGAATTTCATCAGCAAAGCCAGCCGCTACGGGGCCTTCAAAAACTGAGTCTAGGCCGGTCTTCTGCTCGGGCTCTGCTGCATCCACGCAGGTTCTCTCAAACGCCTCAGATCTGGAGAGAGTTAAGCCAAATTCTGGTGGTTTGAGCGTGAAGAAGTGGGAAGCCACTGCACTGGTGGTCTTCTGGGTCCCAGTGCCTTTAAATTACACCCCCATCTGAAGCCCTACATAAGCGGAAGAATTCAAGACGCGCCGTCTCTGGATTCAAAGGGATGAGACGAGTTTAAACAGATTGTAATGGAATAGCTAAACAAACAAACACCTCTGAGGTGCTTTACGAGCAAGGGAAGCAAAAGGGAAGAACCATCTCATGATGGAGAAAGAGTCGCTTTTCTGTTACTGAATTATTGTTTTGGGTCAAGGTTACCAAATCCATCTCTTATCGTCACGATGGCCTTTATAAAGCGGGCCGAGAGCTGAACCTCCTGTGGGGGTTCAAAGATAAAGCTGTGTCGTAGGATATCATAATTTCATTTCTTTTTCTGGCTTTAGAAGTAACTTAACACAGTAATATGTCATATAAGAGCGGTATAGCGTTTTTTTTTAGGGTCAACTTTGGCACCAATTTCATTTACAGATTCAACTAATGTCATTTATGTTGTTTTTTTACTGACAGTCACGTTACTTTTGATATCTTTGCACTCTTCCTGTGTAACAGTGTTATTTTGAATAGGGCAATGTCTGTGTTTCTGTGCAGTCATATTTTTACAAGAGGGAATCTTGCAAAATCTGTCAAGAAAATGACCAAACCTTACTTAACCTCCCAACGCGCATAAGGTAAAGATTCATTTTAAAAATCATTTCCACTGAATTCGATAAATTGGAGTGAAATGTGAGCAGAGCGTTTCTTCATAGCATCCGCACATCTTGCACTGCTATTGTTGGGAAACGGTGCCGTCTGGTGGTGGTGATGGAAATCTAATCATGTGCCCATATTCAATTTATGCTGACAGCTAAAGATTTTCTTGTGTCCACAGTGAATCCAAACTCCTTTCAGATATGTTTTATCATCACTCGTCATAGCATCAGCCAACCAACCAAATCTTGAAATAGCACTTGCTACACCAAGCATGTTTAAATCCAAGGGTTTACAGAAAGTTAAAAGGTGTTAGTCAAGCAAGGTGCACACTCCATGTGTTCTTGATGGTAAGTTGTTACTTTGTTTACACACGGTCAGGGGTTTCTGTTCTGTTGTGGATGCATGATTTCCTTCTTTTGTAACCCTTTCACTGAGGGTCAGGACTGCTAACCCTGCCCGATTGCCAAGAGAGGGTCTGTTAAATGTTCCCCAGTTGAATAATCTCTGTTTTAAGATGATACCAAACTCCTTCTAAGCAAATATCATACAGCACTTTGAATATTTAAATAAATGTCCATTATGTTGATACTGATGTGCTACATAACTGTTATGCAAAAGGTCTAATTACAAATATAATATTGTAATACAAATATTTTACTTGTTTCTTTTTTCACTTTTTTTGTAAGGTATAATATATTCATTAATTTGCCATTACATTTTATATATATATATATATATATATATATATATATATTTTATTTAAATACATTTTATGTTTTTATTGAACACACTTTGACTAAAGTCCCGTTCACACCAAGGACATTAATAAAATGACAACTATAAAGTTTTTTTTGACTGTACTAAAGGATAAAAATACTATAATATGATTGCAGATATTTAAGAAATATGCTCAGTTCAAATACTTGTTTCTCCATAAAACAAAAAAATTATTCTACTGTGAAATGTGAATTCTATGTTGAATGTCTGTTTTTATTTTGGTCTGTTCAATAATATTTAACATTTTGACTGCTGTACCCATTTCAACCACTAGCTGTCAACATTACATACTGCACCTTTAAAGGGATCGTTCACTTTGAAATTAATTTTTGGTATGTTTTAGCTTACCTCAAGGGCATCCAAGATGTAGGTGTGTTTGTTTCCACAGTATTTTCAATTTTGATATTTTTAGGTCGAAACGTCCTTGTCTGTCAGTCATATAATGGAGGTCTATGAAGTCCAAATTAAACATGATTTAATGACTCGTAAATGTAAGTACACATTGATGGCCTAAGACACAAAACGAGCGGTTTGTGTGAGAAAATGCACAGTATTTATATCGTTTTTACCTCGTGTAACCACAGCCATGTCCGACTGATCTGATGGCACAGGCGCTTCGGTCTGATCGCTTGCGCGAATCGTCTTCCATTGCGACTTCTTGTATATCTGAAAGGTAAAACTTCCAAAATCTCTGTGTAAACAATGAGTGATGAACTTCCGTTTTTGCAGTCGCTCTGTTTATTTCAATGGCATCGCTGTCGAGGAGTAATTAGCTGGTGAAGTGGATTTACTTATTGTAGAGTTAACAAAAGTTATTATGAGCATTGTAATGTTTATCATAAGCATTGTAAAGCAGATGTCTTAACAAATGGCAACCGGGAAATTTTTTACGAGCAGTTCATTCATACCTATGCAAGATCGCTGTCAAAAGACAATAAGCGCAGCGCTGAAAAGGGGCTACATAAGGTCTATAGCACTTATCTTTGTCAAATGGTGCAATGTAGAACCATAAGAGGTACCATAGAGCACCTTAAAGGGTTAGTTCACCCAAAAATGAAAATGAAGTCATTAATTACTCACCCCCATGCTGTTCCAACCCCGTAAGACCTTCGTTCATCTTCGGAACACAAATAAAGATATTTTTGATTGAATCTGAGAGCTGGATCAGTCCTACATAGACTGCCTAAGGGACTGGCTCTTGACGGCCCGTAAAGTCATTAAAGAAAAGGTTTAAATATTCCATGTGCCTACAGCGGCTCAATTATAAGTTTATCAAGCGACGAGAAAACTTTTTGTGCGAAAAAACATAAATAACGACTTTATTCGACTATTCCATTACTTCCTTATGGGCGCATGCGCGAGAACTGAGATGAGGACGTTCTCTTTCGTCTACTTTTTGTTACCGGCTGCTCACCGCTTAGGAGTTTTACCGCAGTGGCACCAGACCAGAGCCGCTATGACGTCATAGAGAGTTGATGGTTTTTAGAACGTTCGCGCGCTTTGTTAAAGCCGTGTAACTCTCCAACTCTTCACTCATTTACTGAGTTTGCAGCTGCTTTAGTGTGATTGATACACAACAGCGATTCATCATGGGACAGAAGAGTTCACGAGTATAAGCGTTCACGGATAGCGAGCAGGTTCACGACCTCCATCACCGTGACCCCTCACCGTCAAACCATCTTCCCCATCGGCCTGACGAGGAGAAGCCCGAGGGAGAGAGAGACCAGCGTCCCATCTCGCGTCTGAAGAGGAAGATGAAGAAAGCGCCGGGCGACTTCAACTTCTTCAAGTGTCTCTCTTTCAGACGCAAAAACACGAGCTCGGATCAGGATGAGATCATGAAGGATCAAGAGAAGGAAACACCCAGGAGAAGTACCGACGGTAAATGACAACCATGTTATGAGAATATTATCATGAAAAACTGGAAAAGTGTTCCTACACTTCATAAAGTCACTTCATAATGTACACCTGTTAAATGAGTAACGGGAACTTCTGCCCCCTGTAAAATGGTTTTAAAAACAAAGAATTTTTAACTTTCTTTCAATAATAAATTAATTAAGGAACCTCAAAAGTGTAAAATTGTGAATTAAAAAAAATAAAATAAATTAATAAAATTAATTATAAAATAATGTGATTTAGTAAAATTAATATTATACTTTGCACTTTAAAAATCAATAGGTGAACAATTAGTAATTGACTCTAATATCAAAGAGCTGCTGTTCCTCATAAATCAGTATTGTTTTAGCTGCTCAACTGCTTATATTCTCCTGTTTAGATGAAAATCCTCCACAGTCCATCTCTAGATCTGGAGAGGTCATTGATCTGAGGGAACCTCCTGTCGATGATCCTGAAGTCCTTCCCGCCGCCGAGCTTCAAACTCCAGTCCTCGACGCTCCAGTCCGTCTGACAGCGGGTGAAACGTCTCCTCTCCGTCACCAGGAGAACATGAGACCTGAGGGTGAGTTTCCTGCCACAGTCCCCAACGATAATCTCACAATATCTGCAAAGCACCACTAAACCTCGTCTCCTTCTCTTCCTCTTTTAACAGACGAAATCTGCAGCCGATATTCATTCGGCCGTAAGCTGGGGGAAGGGGGATTTGGTGCCGTCTACGAAGGCACTCGTTTGACGGATAACAAGCTGGTTTGACTTTTTTTTTTTTATTAATAGTTTAGCAAATTCTTTGATATCTCACTTTATCCTAAGCAAGACATCTTACTGTATCATCTGTTCACTATTAAGGGCTCTTCTTGACCCGTTGGGATTTCAATTCTTGCTTGGACGTTATGATATGATCTCTACACACATTCATTGCTTTTTGTTTTGTCCATCAGGTGGCGGTGAAGTTCATCCAGAAGACGGAAGACATGGAGTGCATCAGCATTGTGAGTAAAAGTGATTTGATCAGCAGACAAACTGAGTTAAATCCCTATTTTAAAGCATCTGACATCATATGTGCCTTTCTTCCAGCCTGATCATCCCGAACCCCTTCCCAAAGAAGTGGCTCTGACGATCCTGGCCAGTAGCAAAGGTCCAGCGATGGACATCATCAAGCTTCTGGACTGGCAGGACCAGGAGGACTTCTGCGTCATGGTCCTCGAGCGTTTCTCCGACTGCATAGATGTGTTCGACTTCGTGGCACACAGCGGCGGCCGCATCGAGGAGAAGATCGCGCGGCACATCATGTGGTCGGCAACACTAGCCGCTGATGCGTGCTGTCGCCGCGGAGTTTACCATGGCGACATCAAACTGGAGAACCTGCTGATAAACGTCAGGAGCCGCGACGTCACACTCATCGACTTTGGATGCAGCGAACTCCTGACAGAATCTCCCTACACGAGTTTCTCTGGTGTGTATCAGTTCTCAGAGCTCTTGTGAATCATTAACTCAACACTGCTGTGGTAGAGACTCACACATCTGACAAACACTCTTTCCTCCAGGCACAGATTTGTACTGCCCTCCCGAGTACAGAATGAAGGGCGAGTTTCACGGGAAGCCGGCGACGGTCTGGACTCTGGGGATCCTGTTGTTCAGAATGGTGTGTGGACACTTTCCAGATACTGCCGACTTGTACAGGACCAATATGAAGATCTGGTACAAATCCAGCTTGACAGAGGGTGATTTGTTTATTACTTCAATACAATTCTAATCCAAACTTCATAGGCTTTATAGGAGTTTGCTGTGTAGAGAATGCAGGAATTTGACCTGAAGATCTCACAGCGTAGAATAATGACATTAATAATCAGACGTCTCTCCGTCTTTCTCACAGACTGCTGTGATTTGATCTGCTCACTTCTGCAGCAGAAGCCAGAGCGTCGGCTTGATCTGCACAGGATTATTCAGCACAACTGGTTTTAGGTACTGAGCCATGAGCTAAACACTATTGAAGATGGATTTTGCAAACCTCACCTGTTCTAAGTGGGATGAATTTAGCAGCCTTATTTCTGTGTTTTTGTTCCAGGTGGAAAACCGGTCACAGTGTCGTCTCTTCAGGAGATCTCTTTCCGTTTGATGAAAAAATCCACCAAAAGCAAGAATGCAGCTGTAGATGTCTTTAATAGATTTTATCAAGACTCAATATTTAGGACAACGACTAAAGTTGCACAGCTAAACCACTAGATGGCACAAAATTCTCAGCTCATTGAAGCTCATTTTCATATAATAAAATGTATCTATTGTACTGCCATAATACATTTGTATGGGATCTCCTTCAAAGATTCCAGATTCTGTCATTTTTTAATATTTATTTTAATACATATTTATTAAACAAAAAATTAATATATTTTATTTATTCAAATAAACAGAAAATAGTACAAACTTTGCTGAAGTGATTGTTTTGGAAAAGTATTAGATATTATATGAAACATATTACTGAAACTAATGTTTGTATTGATAATGATCCTGGTGATTTTTACCTCCAGAGAGCAAGGCCATCCTCGCCACCTCGCACATCTGAATGATTGTTAGGTGAAACGCACCACTTTAATCATTTATTTTCCCACAAAATCTTTCGATCCATCAATGTTCAATTAAAATATAGGATATATAGTTATATTATATAACAATCTTATTAAATTAACGTTACACTGTGTAGCAGCAAATCTTTTTCAGTGCAGCTACATATTAATGAATGAATGAAAACTTTATTGAACAATAACAGTCAACAGGAAGTGATCAAAAGGATAAAAACACTAAAAAGACCAAAGTCTTGTTTCCATTGTGGTCATTAAGATGGAAGATGAGTATCAGTACAACTAAAAACATTGAGGACAATGAAGAAAAAGGGCATAAAAAATACAAACAAATAAAACAGATTAAAACACAAGAAAAAGAATGAAACAAAAGCAAAATTCCCAGATAGACAAGCAGACACACAAACAGACAATACAGTATTCCTACTACTATTGCAGTATAAATTTCTATTTCTATTATTGCAGTATTTCTATTTCCTTTTATATAGGTTTAATAACCAATTTTTCATTGAAGATTTAAAATGATATTAGGAAGAGCTCAACAGTTTAAGGTTTAAAGGTGAACCATTCCACAGCATTCAGAGAATGTTTACGCCTACATTTAAACATCATAATATTTAACATTTGAATTCATCTAATATCTAAAGTAAAAAGACAAATCTGCATTTAATGTAGGCTATATTATATGCTTTTTTCCACCAAAAAAAAAAAAAAAAAGATTTAAACGAGTTAAAATTCTGTACAACTTGATGCTGTAAGACATGTTTAGTGCGCGTGCTTGCCTGTGAGTGGCGCTAGATGCACATTTTACAAATAACCTAGAGACTGTGTCTTAAAACCTTGTGTTTCTACCTAGACAGCATTCTAGTCATCACAAGCGCCGTCGCGAGACAGTAGATTTTTTGGACGTTATAAATGCGCCTAACATTTTCTCCAAATATGCAGCTGAATTGGAGCAACAACGTAACAAAATCAACATAATGTTGACCTACAATGTTGTCTAGGTAGAAAACTCGGTAGGTTTTGGCACACAGCCATAGTTCGACACTTCATCTCTCACCGTTCATTCCTGTGGTCATCATCATCGTCTCGTGCACGCTTGGCTCTCTCCGCGTCTCTCAGCCTGATCGAGGCGGATCCTGATCCTGATCCTGGCGATGTCAAACACTCGTCCTCACTCAGCGAATGA